GGCTGCGGGAAGGGCTGCTGCCAGCAGAAGTGCTGTTGTCAGCAGACGTGCTGTTGCAAGAAGCAGTGCTGCAGCTAGGCGGGCGGCCTGGCATCTGGGCACGTGCTTCGAGCGACCCTGCTTGTAGGTAAGACGTCCCCCTCCTTACCGGCCTGCTCCTCACTCTTCAGTCGCCAGCATGACCGGAGCCTTACCCCCAATCCGTCGGAATCCCCCGCTCCTGTAGTTTCTGTCATCCCATCTGCGTGTAATAAACACCAACCAAAGGAATAAATGTGTAGTCTCCTCTGTCAATCGCATTCGAATCTCGTCCTCGACAAAAATGAATCGGGGTAGCTAATGTTCTCCCTTCTCGAAACGCCTTTGACTTTGTGTTTATTTATGTCCTGGTTTTGCCACTGCATTTGCCATCTCTGTAAATGCAAAGCAACTGTCATCCTAATAAATGAGGCTGAACCCGCCTCGAAGACCCATTTCTTTTTTTCTTCCCAGCCTCTAAACCGTCGATCCCTGGGGGAAAATGCATTTCAATCTCAACAGATGAGGCAGGTAGTACGCATGTGAAGACAGCGATGAACCAAAGTTAAATTGTTTGCAACACATATAGATGGATTAGTGAATGGTCAACCCACTGTGGGTTTATCAAGAAGCAGGGAACTCAGGGGCACATCCTCTGTCTTAACAGCTGAATGTCATAGAGGAAACTCTTCCCAAATCTCTCCCTTGATAGAGTCTTAGCAACAGAAGACGGACTGCATGGACATCCATACACACACCTTCCATAGTCATCCGATCACTTAGGGGCATGGTCACAACTTTTGAGGCTTATCACTTATGACGGTCACTTTTTGCTCCTAGAGTCTTCTTCTACTGCACGTCCATCCTGATTGTTATGGCCTCGCTGAGACTTACCCCAAAAGGCAACATAAATGGAAGCCTCAGGTTTTTTGCATCTCTTTGCCCGTTAGCTCCGTGGTCCGTGAGTGCTTCCCATTCAGCCATCGCCCGGCTAAGCATCCATACCCTCCTGTGCATCCCTTCCAGAAGTTTCTGCCGGATCCATGGCAGACGCCACGGAAGGCTGTCTGTCAGCCACCGCAAACTACAAAGTCAGCCTTCAGATGTAAGGTCAGAAGAGGAGGTATAGATTCAACATAATCAAAATGGGCAACTTCCATCCCACACTTCCAGCTCTGTCCGAAGGAGTCCGCACCACACACACAATAAAATGTGTCCCGCAAACCCCCTTCTGTTGATTTCCCATAGTGCTCCTTCCTGGTTCTTTTCTGTGTGGAAAAGATCAGATTCTTGATCCATCGTGGTTTGTTTAGCAGTGGGCTGAGAGAGAAAGGAGGCAGGGGACTCCCGGCTGGGGCTGGCGGTGGGGCTGGGGCTGAGGGAAGCCAAGCTCCTGGGGTCTGTCTCCCAGGAGAAGGACATTCTTGCTCCAACACCACAAGTCCATGTGGGGTATTTCCTTGCCATTCTAAGTAGAGCCTGACAAAGACAGATGCTTAAATAGGCTGAAGTGACCAAATGCAATGAAATCACAAAAGGAAACAGGAATTGAGTAACCATGTAAAGTAAGACCCCCAAAGGGAGCCCCTGAAAAGATAGTCTTCCTTCCCCCTGGGAATTCAGACGATAGGGTTTGAGAAGGGGGTCTGACATGAGCTTCCTCAGACTCTAAGTTGACACCCACCCATCTCTATTTCTGGTTTCTTTTCTGCACCCAAGAGCCCCAAGCGTTTATTTAGTGCCCTCTGACTACTCGGCACTCCGTAGTTACTCTCAGCCTCTAGAGTTTATCCCATGGTCCCCATCCTCTGACTCACACTTCTGCCTGGCTCCGTCTTTATTTTTTTTTTAATTTCTATTTCATTTTATTTTTGAGAGAGAGAGAGAGACAGAGAGACAAAGCACGAGCAGGGGGAGGAGCAGAGAGAGAGGGAGACACAGAATCCGAAGCAGACTCCAGGCTCTGAGCTGTCAGCACAGAGCCTGACGCGGGGCTCGAACTCTGGACTGCGAGATCATGACCTGAGCTGAAATCAGATGCTCAACCAACTGAGCCACCCCCAGCCTCCACCTTTAGAACCACCTCCTGTCACATAACTATTCTCATCAAGAGAGAGTCCCATCCATCTCTCCCCCAGCCTTTCCCCACTGAGGACTCCTTGTGGCAGTTTTCCCACAAAGTAAGGTTGACCGGCCGAATCCTGGGACACGCGGCCCTCCGAGCATCAAAGATGTAGCACGTCTTCAGCTTCTGCTCTCCTCGTCCTGCTCACTAGAGATGTGAGCTTATTTTCAGGCAGTAAAAGTAGGAGATGGGGGCTGTCAGGATTGGCTAAGTTGCCATCACTCAGTATTGACCTCAACGGGTGAAGAAAGGATCCAGGCAGCAGGGCCAACCGGCGACCGTTCTTGAACTTTTATTTGTCAAACATCGTGCTGGGTCCTGGGAGGGACACCAAGACGCAATTCCTTTGGTAGTTAGCTGACAATCTGATATAGAAAAGAAAGTAAGGGTAAATCTGTAATGGCTATTGGCAGAAAAAAAAAAAAAAAAAGCAAAGTCCATATTATATTAAACAAAGGTCACTAACAAAACCACGTAAATGAAGGACAAAGCATTAGACTTCTGTATGTTTTGTTATTCTTTTGTTATGGGCTGAATTGCATCCCCCCAAAATCTGTATGTCGAAGCCCTCACTCCCAACATCTCAGAATGTGACTATGTTTGGAAATGGGCTCTTTAAAGAGGTGATTAAGTCCAAAGAAGGTCCTTAAGGTGGGTTCTAAACAAATATGACTGGTGTTCTTAGAAGACGAGAAAATTGGGACACAGACATGCGCAGAAAGAAGACCGTGCGATGACAGAGCAAGAAGGCAGCCATCTTGCAGCTGAGGAGAAAGGCTGCAGACCAAACCCACTGCCAGCTTCATCTCGGGCCTTGAGCCACGGAACTTGGACTTCCCGCCTCCAGAACTGTGAGAAAGTAAATTCCTGGCGGTTAAGCCACCCCATGTATGGTATTTTGTTAGGGCCACCCTGACAAAACAATACTTCTTTTGGGACGCGCCTGATGACTGTCAACAATACGTGTGTTTATGGGGGTCCTGAGTCACAAGCCTAAATTGATGCTGTGGCTTAGGTGAATCTGTGTGACAAGCTGTCCCTGATACTTAAAAGAAAGAAGCATGGGGCGTCTGGGTGACTCAGTTGGTTAAGCATCCAACTCTTGATTTCAGCTCAGATCGTGATCTCATGGCTCATGGGATGAAGTCCCACGTTGGGCTCTGCACCGCTGTGGATTCCCAATCTCCCTCTGTCCCTAGCCCCACGCCCACCTCTCTCAAAAATCAATAAATAAACTTTAAATAATCAAGTTGAAAAAAAGAAGGAGGAAATGTGGGGCTGTTGTACCCACAATGTGGCATGTGTGTGCAGTGTGGTTCCTACTTTGCCTGCATACACTCAGCTCTCGCTTCTTCCTCCCGAGCAGGGTCCACACTCATTCCCACTATATGAAGCTATGACAAAATTCACAAGGCAATCAGACAGGATCCATGTATCGGGGCTTGGTGGCGAGGGCTGGAAAGCACGGGAAGAGCACTCCGTGTGAGCGCATATCCCACGTCTGGCGTCAGTTGCTTGAACGTGCCTGTCTGTGATCCAATCGCAAATATCGGTCTTCATTTAGGCTGTCCGAATCACTGGGAAAACAAAGTGAGAATAACATCAGATTGGAAAATGAAGACATTTGCTGAGTTCAGTTGAACTACAGAAATATTTCCCTTAAATTGCGACCCACCTCTTTCTTTTCAGCACTCCGTCCGTCTGGGAAATGTGTGCCTCGGGGCAAAAGATGAGGACAGTTATTGCAAAGACAAGGGCCGACCCTCACGTTGCAGTGACGATAGGCTCTGCCACTCTCCGGCTCTGGTCCAAACCAGAGCAAACGTGACAGAGAGGAGTCCACAGGGAACAAGAAGCCACGAGATTCAGCGCTATGGAAACCACTCTGGATGTTTTCAAGAACTACCTCTGCACCTCTGATGGAGATGCCTACAGCCAGTATCACACTTGGCCTTGGATTATAATTCTTTGTACACAGCCCACCCCACCCAATGACCCTCCAAGGCAGGATCTACTCCATCTTTGAACTGGCTTCAAACCTGCCTTTATAGCTAGGGGTTTCTCAGGGAACATTTGTCAACGGAAAGCACATTCTTCCAAAATATTTAAATCCTTCTAAATACTACTCATAATCTGAATCATAAAATGTCATTTGTATTTCGATTTGTATCTTCCAAGGGAATGAGGCTACTGAGGACCAACTGAACTGTAGTTTCCTTTTGATTTCGGCTCAGGTCATGATCTTGCGGTTCATGAGTTCAAGCCCCACGTCGGGCTCTGTCCTGATGGCTCAGAGCCTGGAGCCTGCTTTGGATTCTGCATCTCCCTCTCTCTCTGCCCCTCCCCTGCTCATGCTCTGCCTCTATCTTTCTCTCAAAATTAAATAAACATTAAAAAAAAAAAAAAGAATGGACTACCAGGGCCATCGGGTGGGTCAGTCAGTTACACATCCAACTCTTGAGTTCAGCTCAGGTCATGATCTCACAGTTTTGTGAGTTCGAGCCCTGAGTCGGGCTCTGCACTGACAGTGCGAATCCTACCTGGGATTCTCTCTCTCTCTCTCTCTCTCTCTGTCTCAAAATAAATAAACTTTAAAAATACATTTAAGAATAAATAAATAAAACAGAATGGACTACCACAGCCTGGCAAAAGGACCCAGATTAGAGGACTCGTCAGAGCCCCTCTAAGCTCATGAGTCTCAAAAATAAAACTTAAAAACATCCATCAAAGTTTAAGTTACTAAGTAAGATCTGAAATGAAGCCAAAAGTAAGCCTGAGCCTTCGCAATACCCCAACCAAGGTTAAATTAATATAAACAGAAAAGAACGAAGAGAAATCCCACATCCACCAAAGCTGACCCACTTAGCACAGCCTGATGGCATTACTTTTTGTAGTTAGGGAGATGGAAAGCTAAACTAATAATACCGAAGGTCTAAATGTGTACTGCTCGCTAAATTCATAGGGGAAAGTGATGGGGCCTGCTCTGCAGGGGTGGGGCTGTGCCCCTGATGCAAAGAATAAGTGGCCCCAGTAGATGGGAATCTAAGGCAAATGCAGCCCTCCATATTTTGGTAGTGGATGTATTTCTGAACATTTGTTTGAAATGGCTCTTTGTGAATAAAACAGCATTTTTAATCAATTAGAGACCCTTGTTTCCCTGTAACTGAAACCGTCATCTCAAAACAGAACTCCAGTTGTAGGTGAAGCGCTTCCAAGTGCTCTGTTGGTTGTCAGTAGCTGAAATGCATGGGCAGCGGGGGCAGGAAGGCTGTTCTCATGGTTCCTTGCCTTGCTCTGCTCTCACTGCCCATTTCCAAGTGACTTTTAAGTGAGATTAAGATGTTCCGGGAGGGGGGATACGGTAAAATCAAAACAAAGGCAAAAACACACTTTTCATGCTAAAAGTTTGTATTTATTAGGACATTTAGAAAAACGCTGTCGACAAATAGGAATACAAGATTAAAAAAGGAGCAGAGGTAAAAGCACAGACGTGGGAAGGAAATAATCACATAGGTCTAAAGAACGTTAATTGCGATCCTAACTCACAGGAGCCCCACGAGGTCAGCTCTTCATTCAGAGGGAGCATGTTGTGCTCGCGTCCTTGTTTTCACTGTTGGCTATTTGATTAGAAACTTTTCAGATGGGAAACCTGAAAACACCCAAAGCAGAAAAAAAAAAAAAACCAAAAAACAGGAAACCCAAAGCCAGGAACAAAGGGGGTCAGTCTCAGAACAGCAGATGAGGACAGGGGGGGTTAGGCGAATGGAGCAGAGGAACGTTCCAGGGTCTCCTGGGCAGGGACAGAGGCCAGGTGGCCCGCCTAGCTGCAGCACTGCCTCTTGCAACAGCACTTCTGCTGACAACAGCACTTCTGCTGGCAGCAG